CGCAGAAAGGATGGCAACACCATACACGGCAAAAAACAAAAACAATAAACAGCTGCGCCATGAGCGCATGATACGCCCGTCACATTTTTTTAACTTCCGGAATAAAGTTCAATAACTTCTCAATGTCATATCAGAAATTTGTGAAAAACTAAAGGGAGGTTATCTTAATTGATATATATCAGTCACCAAAGTTTAATGAAAACTGCTCAAAGCACTTTAAAGGTATTGTCCGAAAAATGGAAAATCACCCCTTTTTATGAATAAAATCCAATAACTCGGAAGTGTAAAAACTAAAATTTATAAAAATTGAAACGGAGCTTACATCAATAGATATAAATAATTCTCTAAAGTTTCATGAGAACTGCTGAAAGCATGTTTCAGTTATTGTCCGAAAAATGGAAAATCCCCCCTTTTTTAATGAATAAAACTCCATAACTCGGAAACGTAAAATCTAAAATTTATAAAAATCAAAAGGGAGCTCATGTCAATTGATATAAACAATTGACCAAAGTTTCTTGCACATTAGTGAAAGCATTTTTGAGTTATTGTCCGAAAACTGGAAAATCCCCCTTTTTTAATGAATAAAACCCCATAACTCAGAAACGTAAAATCTAAAATTTATAAAAAACGAAAGGGAGCTCACGTCAATAGATATGAACAATTCACCAAAGTTTTATGCAAATTGGTTGAAGCGTTTTTGAGTTAATGTCCGACATGTTGACGACGGACGGACGGACAACGGTATACCATAATACGTCCCGTAAACGGGCGTAAAAAAACGGCTAAAAAGACAAAATACACAAAATACAACATAGAAAACTAAAGATTGAACACCACCAAAACCTGGGGTGATCTAAAGTACTCCAGTAGGATTAGCAGATCTGTGGTGATCTAAAGTACTCCAGTAGGGTTAGCAGATCATGGGGTGATCTAAAGTACTCCAGTAAGGTTAGCAGATCATGGGGTGATCTAAAGTACTCCAGTAAGGTTAGCAGATCAAGGGATGATCTAAAGTACTCCAGTAGGGTTAGCAGATCATGGGGTGATCTTAAGTACTCCAGTAGGATAAGCAGATCCTGGTGTGATCTAAAGTACTCCAGTAGGGTTAGCAGATCCTGGCATCCATCATCTTGCTCAGTGTAAGTACAAATAATGAATTCGGTATAGTTGCTAATTTTTGTGTAACGAATTTTAACTGCTCGGTGATGTCACAATCAAGAAAAAGAGTACAAAATTGTGATTACCGTAATTGGAACAAATCCGTGGTCATCTGAGACACAGATATTACATAACTATCAACCATCTTGTAATGGCTTCCTAAAAACTATCGAAGGGATAAATTCAACTTTAACACTTGGAACCCTAGGTTCAATAGCTTCCTTGTAAGAAGCAATACTCTATCAAAGAATCTTAATAAAACATGCAAGATCTGTCATATCGTACCATATGGGAGATACACACTTCATATGCAGGCGCTGCTGGATTGTTACTTCATAGAAATGGAAAGTTTCACAAAATTGGGAAGCTGTATTCACTCCATTTGTTCTCGATCGACTATTTGTCAATTTCCAGATGTAAGTCAAATTATGGGGCAGACTAAACTGTGTCTGTAGAATCCTTTATTTCGAGTTCGATGGGATAGATCTGGGACTAATATTCTAATAGTATAATAGTACCAGGATAGATGCATTCAATATAGTCACCAAACTTAGAATTATATAGTGAGAAAACATCAGCTATACAGCGAAACGTGAAATAAAAGGAAAATACAAGCGTCTTATTATATGTTGTCAATAAATAGTTTTGCATCTTGAAGTTTAACAAGCATTCTGAGAGTATTGCATGGCAATACATAGTCCCCTACCGGTTAAAAATTAATTGTACTGGAACAAAATGCTAACTTGATCTATAACTTGTCATGGTGTTAACTATATAACAAATATCAAGTCAATATCTTCAAGCATGACGAAAAAAAGTGCCGTAAACTGATAATTTAAGTGAATTTTCTAAGTCCAAGGACCATAACTCTGCAAAAAATCATCAAACCGAAACAAAATTCAAACTTGGTATGTAACTTGTCATGATAAAACTATATACCAATTATCAAATCAATATATTCAAGCATGACGAAAAAAAGTGCGGAAAACTGATTATTTGAGTGAATTTTCTAGGTCCAAGGACCATAACTCTGCACAAAATCATCAGACCGGAACAAAATTCGAACTTGATCTGTAACTTGTCATGATAAAACAATGTACCAATTATTAAATCAATATCTTCAAGAATGACGAAAAAAAGTGCGGAAAACTGAATATTTGAATGAATTTTCCAAGTCCAAGGACCATAACTCTGCACAAAATTATCAGACCGGAACAAAATTCGAACTTGATCTGTAACTTGTCATGATTAAACAATATACCAAATATCAAATCAATATCTTCAAGAATGAAAGAAAAAAAGTGTGGAAAACTGATTTGCCGGACTGACAGAAGGACAGACAGACAGACAGACGGACGGAGTGCAAACCTAAAGTCCCTTCACTTCGTCGGTAGGGGACTAAAAAATATGCAAGTTTCAAAGTCATAGAAAATGTGCTAAGGCTAATACAACTGCATACCAAACATCATTGATCGCCGTTAATGGTTCCCTTTAAACTAACCTGATCACAAACACATTTAAACTAAGCCAGATTCATTGTCAATAGCTTATGACTGAGTGGTCAGGGCCAAATAATCTCCATGAAAATGATATCTGCCAATTCTCATAAAAGTATCATTGACTTACCATTAGCAATTCGCTTTTAACCGAACTAATCAGAAACTGTAAACATGTTGTTTACACGGCAGCTGGAAACAGCAGGCATAAGTTTCACCTCCGCTACTTTGTAGAGGTGAGACAAAACTCAATTTTGAGAAATATGGGGTTATAAACTAAAGGTTTTAAGGAGACTGTATCACTCAATTAGATCCATTGTGTCTAAAAGAAAAACACAAGTAACAAATGGCTTTCATAAGTGAGAAATTAAAATTATGGCACATTTATTAAGAAGTTAAGTGATACAGGCCACATCAAAAAAGAAAACTACAAATTTTCAGTTTACAGGGCCTTAAATCTGGAATTAAAATTGGTATATCGAGGTACAAGTTTTATACAGAGGATTATCTTAAACAACCTTTCTGCAAAGTGTGAACAAATCCTATGTCGTGTCATTTACCAGAAGACCAAAATTTGGCATACTGATTTTTCACTTTAAGGACCATATCTCCAACCCATAATGTGATACAATTCTGAGGCTTATGGTTAAATACCTACATGAGTTCAGTTAAGTTTGGACTAGTTGTTTTAGAGAAGTAGTGGCTTTCAATAGTTTTATGGGAACTATCTGCCACCATTGCTGTCAGGTTTGCAACCCAAATCAAACAAAAATCATTTGGAGAAGGTCTCACAAAGAAGTAGGTTCGAAAAGGCACCAAGATGTCCCCTATTTCTAGCTAAAATTTTAAATTAGGATTTATTGACCAATATCACAATAAATAATTGCGAAAACGATGGCTTGATAAGAAATATGTCTATTTGTAAAAATTTTATGCATTACCGTTCTGTTATTTTTCATGACGTCAAAAATAGCACACGTTTTGATTTTCCATGAAAACAGGTAAATTCCCAGATTTTTTGGGACAGGAAACAGTGTGTGTGTTGACAAAAAAATATCTGTTAACATAATGTTTGTGAAAACGTTTTACATATATGATTTGAGTATTTAGTTTGTTGTAGCATGCGCTCTCTATTTCCTATTTTCTAATTTGGTTGAAATCCAGACGATTTTGTCTAATTTCACAAAAATCTCTATTTATGGTCTATTTAAGTTTTTAAATTCAAACACTATATAAGATGGGTGGCTGTTTAACGTCCATTGGCATTTTAAATTCATATTCAGGACGAGAACAATGTCATGTATACAACATGAATATGAACCCTGCTTTGTACTAGACTGACACACCGAGATGGACTTTTCACGTGCTAGATCACAAGGAAACAGTCTGCAAGAAGACATGTTACCTTACCCTGACACATTATTCGGACTCTGAGTAACATGTCTTTGCTCTTACTAGCAAATACCAATTTTAATGTCTTTGGGTTGACCCTTGATGCCGGGGTTTACACCCATGACCTCTCACACCCAAGGCTTACACCTTACCATTAGACCACCGAGGCTGTTTGCTTTTTAAGAAAAATTGTACAAAAATGGTTCAATTTCACTTTCTTAAAGTCTTTCCATCATCAAGTTGAAACAATGGACTTAATATTAGGGGCCGAATATAGCCATTACAGAACTTACTCCATTCAATCCTCTAAAAATGCAAATAATTTCCCCTTGTATTCTGGTATTGTCAGAGATCAAATATGAAAATTGGCCCATCAAAATCAATGACTGCAGCAATGTTTTTTGTCGGATTAGAACCAAATGAAGAGTTGGTAGAGGACCAGTCACCTTTAATACATCATTCTATCCAAGTTTGTCCATATGGTGTTTCAGAGACTGATGAAAATGTGATTTGCTCCCAAGAATTCAAGATCAATGGAGACTGTGTGCCAACAATGCTAACATGCTTTTCAAACAATCAAAATTTAATGAAGATTGTTTACTGCAGAGAATCCCAATCATCAATCCTATAATAATAAAGTTTCAAAACATTTTGACATGTAGGGTCAGATATATTTCAAATTCGTAAATAAGAATAAAAGATTGACTCGGGCTGCTAGATTTTTGTCCAATCAAAACCAAAATGAGCATCACCACTGTCAAATCACTTAAATAGAAAATAACACGTTTTTACCCTTTTTCTCCAACCTTGTTACTCTGAGGAATTAATTTGTGAAATTTAGTCAATAAGAATCTGAAAGCCTCCATGTATTCTTATATACAAGACCAATTTCAAGTTCATGTAGTTACAATATTCTATTCTGCAAATTTGCATGGCAATGATACAATGAATATGAAAATTTTGCAATACTTTTATTTTAACTTAAAAATATAAAATTAACATATATGTTCACATAACGTTGTGTCTACAAGTCAGGATAAATTGAGTCTTCATAAGACAATTATGTCTCATCTTACATATACTAAAAGTCATCTCATTGAACATCTTGGCAAGGATTTCATGGGACAGTGTTAAACTCCTGAATTCATTCTCAAATAATATGCATGTATTACCATTCTCAATGTCTACAATACTTCATTAAAATGAATTCGGTGAAAACTCCCTATACCTGCATTAGATATTTATAGTTGTGAACATGTTTTGAAAACAACTTAACAACACACAAAAAGACAATCAGAAAATATATTACATGCAATAAATAAAATAATATGGCTTCCTACCATAAAGTAGGATACTGCTGGTGATGATCGGTGAATAAAAAGAAAGCCTTGCAATGACAAAATATAAAACATCTAACAAAAGATTTTAAAATCATAAATTTTCTGTCGTTTCAAAGAGATCAAGTCATATTATTAACTTTTAAATACCTGAATATTCAATTACAATGGGTCAATAGCTTTTCTTGTTGAAAATTTTACATATCACTTTCTTAAAATTAAACCAAATGCTTACAGTTTTACACTATTCATTGAACAAAATTAATATTCAGTAATAAATGTGTCCTTCCAGTTGGAGGGACTTGTTCATTTAACCTGAATTCATAATTTTAAATCTGACAATGACATTCTTAACTTATGTGATAATAAGCAGTTTTATTTTTTTAAATTAATATTGATGTCAAATAAATGAACACCTGATGCATCTATGACAAATACTGGTTCTCATTGTTTTGAGCTTATAGATATTCCATTCAAACCTGGGAAGGCAAATTTCCTGGTTACCAATCAATACAAGTGATAAACACTTGCATTTCAAAAACTGTATTCCTAGAATACATGATTAATTATGCTAACATTAATTTAACGGTTTATACAATATGGACAAAGCAGATCTATAGTAAATTTCATGGGAACATACATAATAGAACTAATGTCATTATCTGTCAGTTAACAATTTGTCATTTCATTTTGCTTTGTACTTTTTCATACTTGTATAACTATCTTACTGGGAAAATAACTTTCTCGAAACATATGCACTAAGATTTCGAAATTAGAATAAGAGGGACTTGGTTAAAAAGAGCTTAAATGACATGGCAAAGTGTCATTATAAAACTAAACTAGACACATTATTTTTGTCGTCCAACTAAGGAACAAGTTGCTGGTTTTTCTGATAACTGTCTTGTACAGAATAAAGACATACTAATGCCACACATTGCTAACACTATTGCTGTCCGTGATATAAGTTTCTTTGATGTTCTTCCCTCTTCATCAGCCTGTGAATATATAGATAACATTATAATTCTGTCCAATGGGACATTAATATATACAGTAAGAAATGTGGGGTAAACATCAATGAACAGCAACCCGACGGCAAAAAATATTTTCTCTGCTTTAGTACTCAATTAGCCCTTCATATGTATTTAAAAGGTATATGTTTTGATTCATTGTATAAATTAAACATTTCATTGTATAAAGCATTGATTGTAGTTGATTCAACTATAAGTATGGACAAAGGAAGATAACTCCAATTTTAATAATAATTACTTGATTGTTACTTTCAGAAAAACAAATTTTTCCATTTGTAAAGGGCATAACTCTAGAACAGTAAAAGTGACAGCACCAAAATTCGAACTTGATCTGTATATTGTGGTAATAAGCATTGTGTATAAGTTTCATAGCATTTCGTAGAGGCAAACTTAAGATAGAGAACGGAAACAAAAAATTTAGCAATTTTTCCATTTGTAAAGGGGCATAACTCTAGAACGGCAAAAGTGACGCCACCCAAATTCAAACCTGACCTGTGATTTGTGTTAATAAGCATTGTGTATAAGTTTCTTAACATTTGGTTGAGGCAAACTAAAGTTAGAGAATGGAAACCAATTTTGGGACGTACGGACAGACGGACGGACGTACAGACGGACAAGGGTAAAACTTAATGCCCCCTCCGCTACGGCGGGGGCATAACAATAAAATTTGGTATCATATGATTGAAAATAATGATTGGGAGTCTAAATTCCAAAGATTGTTGAGGACAGTACAAATGTATGTTCAAACATGTACTTAGTACTATCAAAACAAATACTACACATTTGAATTGTAATGGTAAAACTTAGGGCTGCTGTAGATGTTTTTTTTTTTCATTCAGCTAGTCACCAAAATGTTCCTTGCTGACTTATTTAGAGTAGAATATATTGGTAAATCTAAATAATATATATGTAGTAAATATATTGAACACTAAAATATGCTAAAGTATGCTAAAATTCAGTTTGTGCAAACGTGTGAATGATTTGTATGTTTGTCTGAGAACTTACAGGTAATATGATATGGTCAGGGATGTAGCTGCTGGTAGGCACTTAAGGCACGTGCCGACACATAATTTTTTCACAAATATTTTTTTTTTATTAAAAAAAATAATAAACAATGTTATCTGTAGATGCACGCCAGTGAAGTCGTCAAAACTCGTCTTTAATTATCGAATGTCATGTGTACACTAGTCTATCATCCTTAGTGAATGGAGTATTGGATAGAATAGTATGTCATTATATTCCCCCTTATATCATGTTATATAGAAACTATAAACTAGAACTTTGGTTCAGATCATTTCACTTTTATCAACAATAAAATGCTCCGCTGGGGCGCAGCTTGATACGACCGCAGAGGTCGAACCCTGAACAGTTGGGGCAAGTATGGACACAACATTCAAGCTTGATACAGCACTGAATTTGGATTGTAATTAAATATTTGACACAGCATAGGTTTCTGACACAGAATGAATGTGGTCTAAGAACTTAATTTTTTTAATTTATCTATTCAAACCATATCATTATTATTTGCTTTTATATATTAATCAGAAATAACCAATTTAAAATGGAAAATTTTAAAGATAAAAAATGAAAAATAAATCCCCCCCCCCAATTTTTTGAACACCCTTATGATTCATCACCCCCAAACTCAATCCCAGCCTTCCCTTTGTGGTATGGTACCTTCAACTTGCATACATGTGATGGACTGTGAAATTAAGATCAGGAGTTTGGGAAATTTTGGTCAGGAGATTAGGACTCAGATCAGGAGGTTTTTAATCGACATAAATTCTGTCGTAAATGTAACCGTGTGCTGTAGAAATTGTCTGTTAAAGTGTGTTTTCTTCAACTTTCCATCCGAATGTATTATGTTTATAGTACCCTTGTACTTATTAATTTTTTCTATCTTTTTAAACTTTCAACTTGTTCAATCTAACATTCTTCTTTTTTAGTATGTTCTTTAAATTTTTTAGGTCATATCTGTTTTACCATTATTCATTGCAATCCTTATCTATCTGCAAGTAGATCTTTTGTTTTATCTTTATGCAAGTAGATTTTTTTTTCTTATCTTTATATTATGCAAGTAGATTTATAATGCTTGATAAGTAATACATTCAAACTGTGTTCTTGGGTCATAGTTATCATATAAATTTCAATTTAAGCCTTGAAAGGAAGTCTAGAACCCTCAAATAATTTTCAAATTATTATTTTTTTATTTGTCCTAAGACATTTAAAATCATTTAATTACCATCCTTTTATGATTATTTGTTCAATTTATATTTTATTTATATTCTTTTAAAAATTTACATTATTTAAAGGAAAGTTACTTAAAACAGGATAAATCAAGGGAAGTAACTTAAAACAGGATAAATCAAGGGAAGTAACCCAACATTCATTTTAACTACAGAAAGTTTTATTACACAACTGCAGTTAGCCTGAGGTAAAAATCGTTGATTACCAGTATGTTTGACACCCAAGGTGATAAGTGAAGCCATATAATTATGCATGTTAATTGATTTACAGGTAAAATATAACTTCAGGTAATGTCAGTTACACCAGATATGTTGGGCTGAAATTTTTCATTCATGAAATATTTCATACACAGGATTTTTTTGTCTTCAACGGGACGGGACGTCGGGAGGAGACCCCTGAAAACAGGATTATTGTACTCCCGTCGGGAGGTTCACATGTACAATTTCAGAGAGATCCAAACACTTGAACACAAGTTATTGTCTGGAATCTGGAAACTAGAAAAATGCTTGTTTTTTGGTCCCTTGTTGGCCCCAAATTCCTAAACATTTAGGGCAATTACCACAAACTCAAAGCCAGCTTTCCCTTTGTGATATGGAACCTTGCAGTACAATTTCATAAAGATCCATACACTAACACACAAGTTATTGTCCTGAAACTAGAAAAATGCTTGTTTTTTTGCCCCTTTATGGCCCCTAATTCCTCAAATTTCTAGGGAATTACCCCCAAAATCAATCCCAGCCTTCCCTTTGTGGTATGGTACCTTGCAGTACAATTTCAGAGAGATCCATACACTTGAACACAAGTTATTGTCTGAAAACTAGAAAAATGCATATTTTTGGCCCCTGTTTGGCCCCTGATTCCTAAACGTTGTGGGCAATTACCCCCAAAATAAATTCCAGCTTTCCCTTTGTGATGTGGAACCTTGTAGTACAATTTCATAAAGATCCATACACTTACACACAAGTTATTGTCATGAAACTAGAAAAATGCTTGTTTTTTGCCCCTTTTTGGCCCCTAATTCCTAAAATTTGGAGGCAATTACCCCTAAAATCAATCCCAGCACTCCCTTTGTGATATGGAACCCTGTGGTACAATGTCAGAGAGATCCATACACTTACACACAAGTTATTGTCATGAAACTAGAAAATGCTTGTTTTTTGCCCCTTTTTGGCCCCTAATTCCTAAAATTTGGAGGCAATTACCCCCAAAATCAATCCCAGCATTCCCTTTGTGATATGGAACCTTGTGGTACAATGTCAGAGAGATCCATACACTAACACACAAGTTATGTCTGGAAGTTACAAAAATGCTTATTTTTGGCCCCTTTTTGGCCCCTAATTCCTTAACTGTTGGTCCCATAAGGCCATAACCCCCAAAATCAATCCCCACCTTCCTTTTGTGGTATTGAACCTTATGGTAAAATTTCATAGAGATCCATTCACTTAAACTAAAGTTAGAGTGCGAAAACCAATGTGTCTTCGGACGACGACGCCGGACGACGACGACGACGCCGACGCCAACGTCATACCAATATACGACCACAAAATTTTTTTTGCGGTCGTATAAAAACTTGAATGAACCTCAACTTAGACACATGATTTTTTTTAATTAGTTGTTGTTGGCTTTCAACTAGCTTTCCACTTGGTCTTCCTCCGACCTACAGTAAAACCCTTGCCAAAGTTGGGCTGTGCAGGATGTTTAAAAAGGCAGTCACGTCTGGTCAGAATGGACACGTTAAATCCGATGCCTAGTGTAGAGAGAATGCCACGCACGCTCTCTGCACGTTAAGTAACTTGCAACAACTCTTTGAGGGGTTCATACATTTTTGTAGGTGGTCTACTGAAAGGCAAAATTTCTGTTCCTATCCAATAAACCCTCATTTTCCAATGCATGGCGTTTCCAAATTTCCAGACCTTCGTCCTGGACGACCCCTATTACAGGACCTAGCTACCTGTTGTATTTATTGTAAATTTGTTTTTGTCCTGATCATGCATGAACTATTTGCCACTGGACATTTATCAATCAATCAATCAATCAACTAGCTTTCAGTAACTTTGAGTACTCTCAGATCTACGTGTAATGACCATAATTATTCAAATTCCTAAACAGGTAGGGATTTTACAGTACAGGATATAAGGAAATATGAATTTCTTGAATTTTGTTCAATAGTATGAACAGAACTTCTGCATGAGGCATCAACTGTGTGTGTATGTGTTTGTGTAGCCAGAGGATGGTTTCTTTTAAATGTAGGACCGTCAATATGTACTATCAATTGACGTATATATCAATTATCCTCAATCAGAAAGGAATAGATATGAAAATACTAAACAGGTTGTGCTGCTTAATAAAGGGCTACGCTGATCCACGCTGGGCAATGCATATTGTAAATTTTTTTTTTATATATTTCCGATTGTACTGCCGGTTAATTCACCAGTCAGATGTAATTGTAAAATTATGTATATTATAATTTCTTCGAAATTTTTTTCATGTGTATATTATCATAAAATGACCAGTTTTCATGTTTTTTTTGTGCACACAATTTTGCAACTAAAATGCTGAAAAACGTTTTCCATCGGGGGGGCTTTGCCCCTCCTGAACCCCCTAACAGGGCTCTGCCCAGACCCCCTGCTGCAATTTGTGCCTACAGTTTATTGGATACCTAGCTACGCCCTTGATGGTATTATACATATGTATGTATCAGAACAGAGGAAATTGTTGTGTCTAAATTGTCTACCTATGAAAAGCTCTGGATGAATTGAAGCTCTGTTAAAACATATTTCTCTATTTTGTATGTAAATAATTTCTCAAACCAATTATTACCAAAATGTAACTTAAATTACATGAATGATTGGAAACATGGCATTGTCTGACGCTGTTATTTTTGTCAAGAGCAAGAGACTGATATTGTACATTCATTTTTGCTTTTAAGATTTTTAATGTAGGTTATTTTGTTATTGTTGACATGTATATAATAAATTATCAGGATTGTTTACTTTTTCAACACACTTACTATTAATTTCATAAAAGTAAAACCAGATCTACTAAATCCAGTCTGTGAAAAGTTTCTTGTAAGATTCAGTAGAGTTGCCATGTTCACTGCTAGTCTGTAAGCAGCCCTGTAAAATAGAATATACAAATAGAGATGCAACGTTTCACTCAAAGCATCAGATTGTCTTAATTTGCCTAACTGTTCCACATGAGGTAAAAAGAAAGTCACTAATACAGACTGAGTACTGACAATATTTGAATAATTAAACATGCATTTCAGGTCAATTCAGGACCTTTCATTTCCCTGCTGAGGTTAGAGTCTTCAGACCAAAAATATCTTTTTCTTTAAATTTTTTTTTTCCTTTTAACAATGTTTAATAAGATATTAAACTATTTCTTTTACAAGATCCAAAATTTGAAGGAAATACATTGAAAAGTAAATTTAAAAGTAATTGCAATTTGAATACAGTAAATCGACACATATATTTCCAGTTTTATTTAGGTCCATGTTCATCAGATCTTCAGTTTAATCCTTCTTCATACATAGATATAGGAAGATGTGGTATGAATGCCAATGTACATGATGTATCCTATTTCTAAATAAAGAATTTATCATAATTATTATTATTCAATGATAATAATAAATTCTTTAATTACAGAGGATTAACACAGTTAGTTACAATAACAAATAAGTATTTTAGTAATTCATGTTAATAAAAACCAAACAATAAAACCAGATTTCTTTCTGGTTTCACAGGGAGTTTCAAAATATTCTACTATCAATTCAGCACTTGGTATATGAAGAATCAATACACATTACTTCTTTCATTCTTATAATTATCTCCATTGCTGGGACGAGTTTACATCAGAGAATTTCTTTTCTTATTTGTATGAATAAATTGTTAATACCAATGCATTTCAATATATATACATGTACATTGTAGTTTGTCCCATATGTATATATCAAAAATAAGAAGAAAACTTCCTATTTGGGTCAAGTGTCGCCAAAACAAAGGTCATCAGTAATATAATGAGATAGGGAGGAAACAGTTTAGAAAGGTAACATTTTAAAAGTTTATGATTCTAATTTTTTTTAACACAAATTAAAGTAACAAAATAACTTTGTTTGAAGTGTTTCTTATGGGTAACCAAAGAAATGTTCTCTAAATCTGGTTGAAGATGAACAACATTTTGTTACTAGTTGTCCAGCATACAAAGATGATAGGGAGATATTTTTCAAGGAGATAAACAGTATTTGTCCTAATTTTTCATATCTCTCAAATGAGGCAAAATTTGTTTGGTTATTTACTAATGAAAATTTGTCTGAACTTAAATATTTAGGGAACTATATTATTACCTGCCTGGAATTAAATGTATGTGATTTATATAGAATGGAGATAATAACATGTCTGAACTTTTCAATGTTTCATTTCAATGTATAAAAAAAAAATGTTTTTCTGTTACAAATCATGATGTATTGTTTTATGTGTACATGTCATGCTGCCCATCAAGGGCCCTTGATTGGAATAATAAATATTCTTATTCTTATTCTATGGGTCGAACATGTCTCTTTGAAAAGTTTTTGGCACTGGCTACCATTACGTTTAAAACGTAGCAATAAAAAAAGGTTATGGTTGCATTGGACACTGATTGCTGGAATGCTAGGTTGGGTTAGGAACCGATTAATTACGAATGTACCAATAATACTGGTGTCTATTTGGACTATAAAGCGATAAGGTATATACCTGCATGAATACAGGTTTTGTCTGTTAATAGTACAGTAGGAAGTAATTTTGAAGACAAGTCAAATGTATGTTAATTACCCCATAAAGCATTTAAAATATTGTGGAAAAACAAGTGTAGAACAATACAAATTTAAAGTGTTTTGACATTCCAACTAGCAACACCCAGTATTTGAACATATTTTTCAACATTATAACATACGGTGACCTATAGTTCTAAGTTGTTAATTTCTGTGTCATTTTGTCTCTTGTGGTGAGTTGCACTTGTCTCATTGACATTGGCATTTTGGGTTAACCAAAGATGTGTAAACCCATTTTCGTATCCATAGGTTTACACATCGGATCTCCTGTAGTTGGTGATCGCAATACTGGTATACCAGTATTGTCCACAATACTGGTATAAAAATTTTGTACCAGTATTGTAACTTTTTTTTTAAAACAGCAATACTGGTACATTACTGATATACCAGTATTGTAGTTGTATTTTTTCACTATACTTTAAGGTGTATAATGAAAAAGATATTGAAGATCAAAGGGAGATTAAATGAACTCAAAAAGATTATAGAGGATAATTGTGAAATCAATTAACAACCAGTTAAAAATAATTACTATACTTGTACAAAGAAACAAAAGATTATTGTAATTAAATCATCTTATTCAAACAATTGTTAATTATATAAATAATTGCTAAAAATTTTATCATATATCTATATTTTATTTAATTCAATTTAGATAAAATAAAATAAAAGCTTTATTATCTGAGTTATTATTTAATAAATTCAAGCAAATTATTACACTATAACACTGTAAATTCAGCATTTACATGTACATGTATGCCATCGTATTTTTTACAGATATTTTAATACATGTATACTAATATTCTAAGCATTTGTTTGTCTATATTTTCTTATCAATCTTTCACAATAAACATGATAAAAGATATCAATATCCATTAAACATAAAAAGTTGCTTAATAGGGGAATCTGATTATAATCAAATTAACTACTTTTACTAGTTTGTCTACATGAATGTTAAGGGTAGTTAAAGCAGTTGATTCAGAACCATGGGCAATACAATTTGTAGCAGATATATCTACTGGTACAAATACTCAAATACTAATACTAGACAAGCACTCATACAGTAAGAGAGCCGTACAGATGCTATCTAAACAAGCTTGTAATCTAGTAAGGGTAAGAGAAAGTCCACAGACTGAATAAATAAATATCAATATAGGAATTGAGGATTGCAGAAATGCCATCTGAAGAAGAAATAAACAATACCAATGCTGATGATACAGAAGCTATAACAGCATTAATGTCAATATAAAATTCACTAAAATATACTATTGAGACTTGGAAAGAGAGAGCTGGAAGAAAACATAGAAGAAAGTAAAGAGTTTGTTAAAATGCTGAGACAGTACGGTTCCCTCAAGAAAAAAACATCAGAAGATTTAAAACTTTCTTTGATTACAATCATAGTGTACCATCAATGGCATCATCAGTTAAACATACAATCATTCCATATAAAATTGTCATGTCATATGTTAATATCATTATGCATATATATGTGACACCTTTAATAAAAGATTAATTACCTATATGTATTGTTTATTTAAAAAAAACACAATACTGGTACAATCAGAGACATATAATACAAGAGATTCGCAACTCTAGTAGAGTCTATATAACAGCCAATGAAATGACGTGGCCACCGGAAAGCCGATTAATCCGATGGATTTATGGGTAATAACCCGTATTGTTGTGTAAAAGGTTCTACGCCTCACGATTTTTCTAATGGATAATGCCGATACCTTTCACAGCTAAAGCATGCAAGTATATTTAAAAGTTACAAAAAACTAATTCTAATAATTTGTTATTGATAAAATGTGTTCTAATGATGAGATTAATCAAATACAAACAAAGTTAAAACTCGGCCCATTTTACTTCACCTATTGCCGTAGAAACCATTTGATCTCCCAATTTTTTTCTTAAAACTTGAAAATATGCTAATAAATAAATTATATAATTTTATGGGCCAATAGTACTCCCAAATGTTGTTTCGTGAAAATAAGACTATTTTCGTAAAATTTGATCCAACAATGTGGCGATTTTTTCTGATTGATACCCGATTTTTTTTTATTAAACTGGCTAAATATTGAAATTGTTCATGGACAAATTTCCTTAAATCAGTCCTTCTTTTTTGTGCACTATGAAATTTATAGCCTGCATTTTGTTAGACATTTTATTCATTTTTCATTCTGTTTATAGCAAAGTTGTTTATTTTCTCCTATTCTGAAGTCATTGTTTTTTTCTTCTTTTTAGGGTGCCAAAGATGAACGAATGCAGTAAATTTACAAAAGGAGTAAAATTTTCCTAGTTAAGGAAACCTTCTGCTGGTCGTAATATTATGAATGAGCTTCATATGCATCTGTTGTCGTTTCAGACTACGCTTCTCGTTCAAAACATGAACCTAATTCATTTTTAAATTAAAATCGTATTGAGGACATTTCAATGGTGACTGCAAAAGATGTATATATATTTGATAATAAAAGATTTTATTTACACCAAGGATTTGTATATGTATACACATAAACAATCTTACTTTTAAATTGCCATCTCTTTACCCCAGAATAAAAAGACAAAAACCGCTACAAATGATTAAAAGACAAAAACCACTACAAATGATTGTCTCGTGGAAACAAGGTTATAAAATACTTTTTAAATAGTGTCTTCCGTGTTGCTTTGATGTATGACCTGTGTTTTTTTATAGATTTTTGGTAGACTTTTTATATGTCCAACTCCAAACGCTTATATCCATCTATGTATGCAGTATTGTCAATTGTTTTTGTTGGTGGGTCTCTCGCTTATGTTTTCGTCCTTTTCACTATCAACAAAGAGTTCGTTATCAGTTTATTCAACTAGGAGTATATCTAAGTCGTAACTATTAAGATTGTCATCCCACGAAATTAAGATTGTCATACCACGAAATAAAATCGGAATTTTCCATATTGCGTGCACATGAATGAAGCTTTATTCAAATGAGAAATTAATTGTAATTTTCTTAAATATTAATTCTCAATACACACTTCGAACATGAAGAAACCATAAATTTACCGACAATCATTTAAAAAAACAACTCATTGCAAGCCTATATGATAAAACTGTCAAACAACACTTAGAAATCAAACATTTACCGATAATCCTACAGAAAAAAAACTCAATGAAAGCCCAATAAATGAGGAATATGAAAATAAATAAAATTTTAATAATTTATAAATATCAAGAATAAAAAACAAAGCCTATCATGATTAACCATTAATTACCAAATAAATTAAGTGTTTTCCTTATTAATTAATTATACATTTTGTGACTTGTATTTTTGAAAAGAGTGTGGACACCTGTTGTTTACAAGGTGTCAATTAAAACTCATTATTTATAACATGTTCGTGATTTACCTGGTCATCGGATAATTCAAACCTAATATACATGTCACACTGTGAAATTATGTCTCCGAGACAGGTGTATATTCAATAGAAACCCATTATGTAACTATCAAATAAAATGAACTCTGACACAATTTATCAAGTGTTAATTATTTAATATCAGTTTTTTTTTTATACAATATCAAATTATGTCTCTTTTTCAATAATACAAATCTAAAATCAAAATTACATTAAAATAAATAATTATATATGTACTCAAATTATATTTAATTAATTATGATAAATTTAACACTGAAACAGTTTATGTTATGCTTAAACATTCGTCCTTACTTCGAGTACTTTTAATACTTTTATTAATGACTTTATTACCTAAGGAGATCTCGCGAGGTTTAACTAGTGGCCGCGTGTTATTACGGGATTTCGCCGAGTTGCGAATCTCTTGTATTATATGTCTCTGGTACAATACTGGAATACAATACTGGTACAAAATTTTTATACCAGTATTGTGGACAATACTAGTATACCAGTATTGCGATCACCAACTACAGGAGATCCTACACATCTATGGTTTCACCTATCCAGCTGAAAACTGAAGTTGGACAATAAGGGCTCTTCATGACGCGGACAAGATCGCTGAATTATTCACAAAATTATCCACACAGTGATCACCATAATCACGCTGGAGAACACGTGAATTTGTATTACAATCCAACAGATATATTATTGATGAAACATTTTTAGTCATAAAAAAAATAAAAAACAATCAGTATGTTAGTATGCAATAGGATAAGTTTACCTTTAAACCAGTAAATTCTCACTTTACTTCGTGGTTCAGAAATGAAGCGACCTTCCCAGTTTACATTTTGATCTTGAAAGATTGACCTTTACCTTCTCCTGGTAACCTATAGTACAATTATTACAGCGTCCAATCGTCAACCAGTTTGCAAAGCTCTAAAACTTGTGCACTATTTTCGAACCAGTACCGAATCTCTTGCGATATTCTACAGACGTAGATTTTTTTAGAATACACTTTGTTAACAAAATGTATTCTAAAAAAATCAATAATGAACAATTTCCTAAACTGTAAAATGAATATGTGTAATAAAAATAAATTGTTGCAAGAACTTTATCTCATCTATTCAAACAATTATAAACAAAAATATTTGTGACTCTTTGTCCAGTGACTTTTGTCCTATCAAATTTGTGACTTTCTGTCCTGTCAAGGATTTGTATAGTAAGTATTTAGATATAAAAATCCTTGTTCCTGTGAATTTCTGTCCGCTTACCGATTTTGATACCATTTAATTTCTACACGTAGCGACCGTTTCACATTAATCCAGTCAATCTCCATGAACGAATTCCATTTATGTTCATTTTTGTTGCATTTATCCTCCACTTTTTTGGTCACTATATCCACAATGTTGAGCTCCATTTGCGTATAACAGGGGGGGGGGGCGAAAGATACCAAAGGGACATTCAAACTTATGTCTAAAATAAACTGACAACGCCATGGCTAAAAAAGGAAAAGTTCAATAGACAAACAACAGTACACAAAACAATACATAGAAAACTAAAGACTGAGAAACACGAATCAACAACCCGGCAAAAACTGGGGTGATCTCAGGTGCTCCGGAAGGGTTAGCAGATCCTGCTTCATATGTGGCACCGTCGTTTTGCTTATATTAGTACAAACCCGGTGATAAGTCTAATTCGGTAGGTCACATTCGGGGAAAAGGGAACGTTATTGTAGTTACGACAACTGGAACATATAGATTACACCACTGCAACAAGTGTGTTACGATATTTCTCCACTCGAGACAGTTAAGTTTTAATATTTAAAGCGCGAGGCTTGCCGAGCTTTTTAAATAATTAAAATTTGACTGTTGAGAGTGGAGACTGAATATCGTAATACACGAGTTATAGTGGTGGAATCTGTTTCTCTAATGATTTTTATCCTTCCTTTTCAAAGATTTGCAGAAAGTTGTGTTTGCTTTAGGACATTCAAATGAGCAAAAACATAGAATATTTAAGCACTTTACAATACTAGTACATTTATAAACAAATGTTCCAGATCTCATTATAGAGTCCTCCTCGACACTGATGCACATGGACAAGAATACTAAACAGTTATCAAAATGCAGGAGTCACCAAGAGCAGGTGCTCAAAGGACATTGCAATATGTAATGTAAAAATTTAGTGCAAACATTATTTGGATTTGGATGCAGCCTCTAACACATCTTGTCCCAATGCTCTGAGAAAAAAAAATTACAGACAATAGTATAAATTATGAGCATTTTTCATTATTTTTTATGAAAGCACCCATTTCGTACAAGATATCCATTTTCATTATTCATTAACCAAATAAACTGATCCTTGGTAGTCGACTTATCAAAGCTAGCACAGGCAGTTGGGGGAATAGGCCCCTTTTTTTCTCTACATATAATTTTTTAGAATATCCCCCTGTAAAAAAATATGTCAATTTGGTATTTATGTTTAACTTTTTTGCTTTATTATTTTTTAGAAAGAAAATACACAGCTATAGTGTTCGAGTGCTCACGTTTAATAGATTACAAACATATTTTTTCCTCAGTACCAGGTCACATTAGTCTCGAAAACCAATCAAAATAATAAAACGATGATACTAAGGCCGAAGAAATATTTATAATTTGTGATCTTCTTCTATTGGATATCCACCCTATTTGCAGGATCACCGCATTAAAAATACATTGTATATGCCTTTATTTTAAAAAGGATTTACCTTGTTAATATAGTTATAAGCGTTAGTTAAATAAATAAAACAATGGTAAGATGGTAAAAGGAGAGAGAACATGTATTTACACTGTACACATCCGTCTGACAAGAAATTATTAAACTTATATTATTTCATAATGGCATGAGAAAATTCATTGATTAGACTTTAGTTAGATTATCTACAGTTAAAAGTTTCCACTTGTTATAATAAAAGTATTCATGGTTTTTCATTGTCTGGACCAATAGATAGGGCCTTTTATATTGCGTGGGAATCCTCATATTTGAGTGAATTAAAATCTAAAATTTTAAAACTTTAAATTTAATAGTGTAAAATTTAATTTAAAAAATCTGAGTTTGTACCATTTCAAAATACAAGATTTGACCCTAAGAAGTGTACAAGGTTTAAAAATTGGTAGTTACCTATTATCTAGATGTAAGAGACATATGGATAGAGAATTACTTAGTTAATTGTATAAAATACATCGCATACTAAGAATCCAGTAAAGTAGGTTAAGATACGATAAAACTTATGTAGTTATGGGATTCTCATGACCGATAGCACAACCGCTGTTGTAGTGACTATTTAGTCGATTAATGTTAGTTTTCTTAGAACCCAGTTCTTTTAATTAACATAGTAGTTCAGCTCTCCTGATATGCAATGCATAGACCTAATCTTTGCATATTCTTTCTATAGCAGCTATATATATATATAAGTGAGATATAGGTATGCAGGTATTGGTGCTGCAGTCGACTAACAGTTTATGTAGGTCCATTTCGGATTTAATGACACGATTATAAATAATCTGGTTGTATGTCATTATCTGCTTTAATCTGCTGTGGTGACCTTTTATTCACGTTATCTAGACTTTTACAAGTAACTAGGAAATGTTTGTAATCTTCAGGGTCTTCCATACAACTTACATTCAGCCGACTGTGTTTGGTCAAAACGGGAAATGACTCTTTGGGTTTTATAAGTCCCTATAAGAATTCTAGATTTAATTGTACCTTTACTGATGTCTCTTTTGTGGTCTCTGACACTGCTCCAAAAATATTTGGTTTCCGAAAATTCCAGTTGTTAGTTTCTGTGTGTTCAAAAGTAGATTAAGTTTCAGCTATTTCTGTCCATCTCTTTTTCCAGGTTGAATCAATCATATCGTGGTTCATTTTTTCCAATTTTTCTTTGGATTAAGTATAATTTCATGTGCTGTAGGCAAATCATAGGATCTGATAATATTGTCCACCTTAATAAACCAACTATTGGATTGATAATCTTTTGTTGCCAGTTGTCTTGTTCGATTGAATTTTCATCATTTGATATTCTGAGGAATAGGGAGATTACTGCTTTGCGAATAAGTTGTTCAACCGCTTCAGCTCCGAGTAGTATATATAAATTGCGGCATCAGCAGTTCTTTGTGGTAAAGACAGAAGTTGTTTTAATGTCTTTTTTTGAAAAATTTATAATTTTTTAATATTAGTTTTAGTAGTATTGAGAACTCCAATTCCATAAAGCATTGTGGGTATTACATATGTTCTCCATAGTTTGTATGATATTAATGGATTTATTCTGTTGATACCGTGTAGACCTGCTCCCATTTCTTTGTGGTAAAGACAGAAGTTGTCTTAATGTCTATTTTGAAAATTTTCTAATTTTTTAATATTAGTTTTAGTAGTATTGAGAACTCCAATTCCATAAAGCATTGTGGGTACTGTGGATTCATTTATTTTCGTGGGTATCAATTTTCGTGGATTGAGGAAAACTTGCATTTTCGTGGATATTTGATTTCGTGGTTTTGCCGATCTCTGCATACAAAGCCTAAAGAAAATTTGTAATTCGTTGAACATTTGAATTCGTGGTTCACATGTACCCACGAAATCCACGAAAATTGGTATCGAACGAATAATTGTGAATCCACAGTATTACATATGCATGTTCTCCATAGTTTGTATGATATTAATGGATTAATTCCGTTGATACCGTGTAGACCTGCTCCCATAAGAGAGGACATAGTTTGTATGATATTAATGGATTAATTCTGTTGATTCCGTGTAGACCTGCTCCCATAAGAGAGTACAAAGTTTGTATATTATTGGATTAATTCTGTTGATTCCGTGTAGACCTGCTCCCATAAGAGAGGACAAAGTTTGTATGATATTAATGGATTAATTCTGTTGATTCCGTGTAGACCTGCTCCCATAAGAGAGGACAACGTTTGTATGATATTAATGGATTAATTCCGTTGATACCGTGTAGACCTGCTCACATAAGAGAGGACATAGTTTGTATGATATTAATGGATTAATTCCGTTGATTCCGTGTAGACCTGTTCCCATTAGATAGGACATAGTTTGTATGATATTAATGGATTAATTCTGTTGATTCCGTGTAGACCTGCACCCATGAGAGAGTACATAGTTTGTATGATATTAATGGATTAATTCCGTTGATTCCGTGTAGACCTGCTCCCATAAGAGAGGACACCGTTTGTATGATATTAATAGATTAATTCTGTTGATACCGTGTAGTCCTGTACCCATAAGAGAGGGCAAAGTTTGTATGATATTAATGGATTAATTCCGCTGATACCGTGTAGACCTGCACCCATAAGAGAGTACATAGTTGCTCTTGCAGTGGAGATTCTATTCTCTATGTTAAGATTATTTCGTTCCTATCTTTCTATGCCTAGATGTTTGATGTTCTGCTTTTCAATAATCTCATCGTCAAAAGTTTAAGATTTACTTTTTTATTCTTTTTGTTAATAAACAGAATTTCAGTTTTTTTACTATTGATCCTAACTCTGTCTCGTGCAGTACAGTTTTCGATGATACGAAGTTGGGTTATCATGTTCTGAGTTGAGCATAGCATTATGTCATCTGCGCACGTGGGACAGCCTACATAATTGGATCCGATCTTAAATCCAATGTTTGTGGTTTCAAGTGTATCAAGTATGTTCTTGTTGTAAGCCTTGTAGAAGTAAGCAGAGAGAATTCCACCCTGTTTGACTCCCTGTTGATTTGTGAAAGGTTCTGACACAGCCTTGAGATTTAACCTGTGTGCTTGTTTTGTTATACATTTCTTTTATCAGTAACCAGGTTGATCCTGTAATTCCTTGGTGGTATAATTTCCAAAATAGGTGTATACGGTCTACAACATCGAAAGCTTTTTCAGCATCTAAAGTAATAA